TGGAGAATGCAGCACTGAGACAAGAAATGGAGGCTGCTAAATTGCGTGCAGCAGAATCTGCTGCAAGCTGTCAGGAGGTGTCAAACAGGGAGAAGGATACATTGATGAAATTTCAGTCCTGGGAAAAGCAGAAGACTTTTTTTCAGGAAGAGCTTATGACTGAAAAAAGAAAAGTGGCACAGCTGAGTCAAGAACTAGAGCAAGCTAAAAGTCACCAGGAACATTTTGAGGTATGTTTAAAAGTTTCTATTCCCCATTAATTTGATATTCATTTTCTTCTTCTTTATCAAGAGTAGTGACCCACTTATTATTATAATAATTGTTTAATAGAATTTCTATAACATGATACTCATATAGACAGGGTAAGGAAGGCAACCATTACATGATGTGGGCATTTTTGGTTTCTGACAGATGAATTTCAACTGATCATAAATTATTACATATTGATTCATTGCAACTTTGGGTAGTCAAAAAGGTTCTGTCAAGTTCTCTATGGTTGAGCTTTATAGATGAGTGGTGAGACAAGCAATTATGAACCCTGGTAATACTCAACTTGTTTCTTTTCTCAAAAAATCCAATTAGAAAGATCTGGATTAGGATTCTCACCTTGAATGTACAGTAATTTTCTGTGGTAACTATAGCTATTTGAATGTGTTTACATGCTACTAGCGTCCATTCAAACATCACATAAGTTCAAAAGTCAAAATTGGACTACTATTACAGGAAGCAAATTGCTATTGCAAGTGCTCCATGTGACTGGAGCTTACTCAGTTCATGTAATCAACACCAAATACATGCATGTGCAGAGAAGAGAGTGATGTAGTGTTAAGAATTGGATATATTTTGCTTGCAGAAGAGTATAAGAGATACTATAAGAGGACACTTTTAAAACGTGCCTTCTATATCCTTTTAGAGAGAAGATTCTTTGCTGATCTAGATCTTGATCAAGGTTTCGCTGAGGTGCATTCTATGTTAGTAATTATATCATGAGTGTTTAAGATTCATTCAGAATAATTTTGGTAGAAAACCCTTATCATTTAGAGACAGGATGTTCTGTTCAATATTCAGAAAAATCTGGTGTTCGTTTGTTCTCCTGTCAACTTGAAATTTGCATGGCTTGCTTAGCATCAGACAGCTCAACTGACCTTCAAATGGTCTTGCTTTTTCTCAATGGCTTACCTCTACCTCCCTATAGGCATCTACAGCACATTCACTCATCCACACTTTTTTATGCATGTTTTCAAACTTCTTCTGATGAGAAGTTTCGGCTATGTTTGCCTTATGGTACATGAAAGCATTTTTCAAGTTTTTGTTTTTTAAATTCATGTGCTTCTGCATAAAAACATGAATGTTAATATGTGTATATATTGGAAATATTTATTTCTTCCTTTCAAACTCATGTCATATTTTCATTGTCATTTTCCAAACATTCTTTTCATGTTTCATCTCCACATATGTTTATGTATGAAGTATAAACATATGTGGACCTAGAAAATAAAATCTTGAAGATGTCTTCATGTTCCAAATGGAGCCTTATTTTTTTTTTCTTGTGAGCTAATGAAGTTTTCGCATTTTTTTGGCTGAAAAGTGTCAAATTTGAATCTAGTTTGCACACATGGATCAGAAATACGAAAGCATGACAATAATTTTTGGCGTAAATTGATATGGGATACAGCATATTTTTTCTGATTACAACTGCACTTTCATAGCTTCAAAGTTATACTGCTTGCTGGTTCAAAAGTTCATGGGCTATTCCCATTAGGTGCTTTTAGCGATATAATGGCTATTACTGCTGGGCCGTTCTGATTGAAAAGGAAAAACATCACAGGCCAGATGGCAACAGGAACGGAAGGCGAAGGAAGAACTACTAACACAGGCCGGTTCAATTAGAAAGGAAAAAGAGCAAATTGAGGCCTCAACAAAATCTAAGGAGGATAAAATCAAATCAAAAGCAGAAGCCAATTTACAGAGGTACAAGGATGATATCCAGAAGCTGGAGAAAGAAATTTCTCAACTGAGACTGAAGACTGACTCCTCAAAAATTGCTGCACTCCGGCGGGGAATTGACGGTAGCTATGCTGGGAAAGTCTCGGATATCAGAAATGGCCTGGCTCACAAGGAATCCTGTACACCTTACATCTCAGGAATGATGACCGAACTTCATGATTTCTCTGGTACAGGAGGCGTGAAACGTGAGCGTGAGTGTGTAATGTGCCTGTCAGAGGAGATGTCTGTGGTTTTTATCCCATGTGCTCATCAGGTGGTCTGCACAACCTGTAATGAGCTCCATGAGAAAAAGGGGATGAAGGAATGTCCGTCTTGCAGAAGTCCCATCCAGCAGCGTATTCCTGTACGTTATGCTCGCTCTTGATTTTTTTATACTCTTGAAGTGAGTTGAGTGTTCTGAATAATGTTTGTGGGACTCCTTTGCATTGAATAATGCACCTGGATTACAGCTTTCAAGAATTCAGACAATTAAGTTGCCTTACATTGGAAGCTTGATGTTTTGTGTATGCCTCCTTCCCTTCTGGCTTTTGAGCTAAATGTGAGGTAGCTTTAAACTTTGAACTCGGATTCGGCTTTAATGCTACAAACAAACATTGTGCATGAAAGTTGCTTCTTTAGATGTACAGATGAGATATATAACTTCATACCAAGTAAGAACAAGTTGTCATTTTTAGTTTTAACTGCGTCTATCTTGCTTTTAACTGGACAGTCTTTTCTCATAAGCAGACACTGAGTCTGTCGTCAAGGGGATGCTGCCATAGTGTCTTAGAGGAATCAAGTGGTGAATTTCCTCGGTGGAGGATCTCTAGGAAGGCAGCGTATAGGCTGGACTAGGGTATATGACCACCTTTCACTGGTAACCTCATCAGGTTACCAGTTATAAACTGGTCGGCTTCCTGTGGTCAGAATTATATGAGAGTATGAAATGAATTTTACACGAATGACCATTTTTATTTCAAATTCAATTGGATTTTGTGGAATTTGAAAATGTGAACCTAATTATTTAGAAAAGAAACATTGGAAATGTGTTTTGTAATCTTGATGTGTGTTTTGTTTTTAAATATTTCAAACATGGGTATTGGAGACAAATTTTATGGCATATTTACACTAAACAAACAGCCCAAGACAAATAATTAGGTAGGATGGTTCTGAGTGAAATCTACGGGTCCAAATCTAGAATGGTGTTGAGAAACAAAATCTGAAGCACAAGCCCCATGTGGTCCTTAAATATAAAGCCCAATAGAAAGACTAGAATGCTAAACTACAAGGAACCAAGGAGCCCAAGTTGGTCAAATCAACCATTTGGGCCAATAAGATTTTATAGGTCTTAAAAGAACTGGTTGTCCAACATTAACACTCTGATATTTGAATTTAGGAATCTGGCTAATTGTGTAAAGTTACTTAAGGTGTTAAAACTCTAAAGAGAGTAAAATGGTTAAAAAAAAAAAGAAAAAGGAAAAATTAACAACTTTTTACCATTCATGTCCAATTATATTCTATAGGTCTAAAGAGCTTCTTACTCCACATTAAGAATATTTTAGGTCTTTGAGAATTTTGTCATTGACCAAGTGTTTGTCAATACAAAAAGAGCTGAAAGCTCTATAGCTTTTATTTACGATTATATATTTAAGTGTCTCTGGTAGTATAATAATGTTGAATATATTATTATTTAAATATATTATTATCAGAGAACCATATGATCTAATTAATATAGATAATAAATTTAAATATTAAAGGGGATATTCCCCACTTACTTGGAAAAATAGATACGCAGAGACACATGTATATATGCGTTATAAGAAATTATTCAATACAAAATTTATTGATCGATACTGTATAGCATCATCTCACATGAGAAGATGAGTTCTACAAATTTTAGGTGAGATCTATCCTGTATGTGAAAATAGATATGGAAACTCGTTAGAGACTAAAACTTTTTCCACGTTATACAATAAACATATATATATACGGATATGGTACTTTATAATAATTGGTAGAAAATAAATTTATAAATTTTAGTGATAATAAATCTATTTTTCAATATTAATTTTTTTAAAAAAATACAAAATAAAAATTCTTCATCACTTTAAAAAAAAAAAGAAATTAAAAGGGGAAGAGAGATGTGATTAAGAAAAAAAGTTTATAAAGCTATGGCTGATATAAATTATTTAGCAGGATAAGAAGGGAAAGAGCAGGAATTCATGATGGTGTATGTGATCAGGATTACGCCACGTGTCCAGATACTATTTGCTATCACAGTATATTCTTAGAAAGTTTTGGAAGGGACCCACTCTAAAGTCTTCATTGTCAATGGCATCGACCACTACATTTCACATTAAAGATCCCCTCAAAAACCTCTCTTCATTTATTATACGTACACACATATACATTTATATATGTATGTATGTATGTATGTTCCCTTCGACCCGTCAATTAAACATCTATATCAAAGTATGGGTACGGTGTCAAATTGAACCTACTGCTATTCTTTGTGATATACATACATATATATACACGTTGTCCGTTTAAGTGGGTATGTGT